CTTAGGGTCTCAGATTCTGTTTCCCAAGGAACATGGCCTACATAATGTAAAATAATAAACTTACAGAAATGGTTCCTCCTCCTCCTCTGCCTCTTCCTTCTTCCTACTAAAAGCCTGTTAATATAGAGCCCACCCTGGCCTGTATTATGTCTAATTCAATTTCTAGGACCCAACAGGCACTCTGTGAATGTTGATTGCATGAATAATGACAAGAACATTTTTCTAACTAGTGAGAGCCCCTTTCTAGGGACTTGCTTGTAAGACAGTCTACCTACAGCCATTCTACTACTACACTGAGGCCCGTGGTCAGCAACTGTAAAACTCTAGCCAAGCATGCTTATAATTCTTCTTTCTAACCTCAACATTCTTGATTTCTTTTCTTTATTTTCCCCTCATCATTTCAGCTTGTGTTTTTTTTATATTTCTTTCCTTATGTCCTTTTTTTCATCCTTCATCTCAGTTTCTTACTTAAGCTAAATGTTATTAATGATGGTTGAAATAGTATATACATATCATACAGATAGATATATTTGGCAGTCTTCCTCTGCCTGCTACCACCAAATGCCACCACCTGGACCACCACAGTTATATAAAATACTCATCACAATTAGTTTGCATTTGCTGTTTTCTTCTGAAATAGCCTCTCACTGCAAGTGTTGCATCATGTACAAGGAGAGACCAAAGAAAGTCCCTGCCTCTCCAAGTCAGGCATGGAGTGCTGAGTTGGGCATTGGATTACTTGACTCATTCAATAAGAGTTGTAATGTCTTGCTCAGAAAACTTGTGGAATCTCCCTCTCTGGAATTATTTTTTAAATAGAAAAAAAGATCTCATTTCTTGCAATAGTCTAAAAGCCTTCTGGCTTAAAAGTATGGAATAAACTTAATGACTTAGAAAGATTATTTCTGTGATTTTCGCGAATTTTGTGAAGACACATGAATATAAAAACTAAATATCCTTTAGCTTCTTAAATTGCATTAGTTATAAAAATGTAAGTTCAGCTGTCCCAGGTAGTAACCTTGTCAGCTAGCTTCAAAAATGGAAGACATCTAATAAACTTACCCCAGCAGCATTTCAGAAAAAGGCACAAAAGGACAAACAGGATTAAAATAAAATAAAAAGAAAAAATAAATCAGAGACCAGCAGCTCTGAAGTAAGTATTGATCAAGATGCCATTAGCTCTGCTTTCTTGGGCACCCAAAATAGTTGAAAAATATAAACAGTAGTAATGTTGTTAAAAGAAGTCCAGTTGTTGCTATCTTACTTTAATGCTGCTGTATTATTCTGCTTGGGCTATCATAATATAGTTCTATAGACTGGTTGGCTTAAACAACAGAAATTTACTATTTCTCTCAGTTCTATAAGTTAAAAGTTCAAAATCAAAGTACTGGCATGGTTGGTTTCTTCTGAGGTCGCTCTCCTTGGCTTGCAGAAGGCCACCACCTTCCTATGTTTTCACATGGTCTTCCTTCTATGTGTCTGTGTCCCGATCTCCTTTTTTAAAGCCACAGTCATAACGTAATTACCTCTTTAAAGACCCTATATCCAAATACAGTCATATTTTGGGGTGCCAGGTGTTATAACTTCAACACACCAGTTTTGAGGCAGGGGACACAATTCATCCTGTAATAGCTATCATTCTCCCTTAATTGTTCTTTCTGTGCGTATTTTAGAAAACATTCCATTGTACTTTCCTTAGAGAAAGAGCAGGCCATTGTGTTGTTCGATGGGCTGATCCAAATCTGTCCTAAGGCTCCCAGAAACAACCTCACTGAGCGAGGTCATGGTATTACCCTTTCCTTACCCTCCAGCTCTGCTATGTGGCTCCTTTGTGCCCTACTTCTTGCCTATTTATTTTTCTTGGCTACACCTTAGCTGCCCACTCCTGACTTGCTATGTGAGGGCACCATAAATATTCCTTGTTGATACAGATGATAGCATGTCAATGCGGATTAAGATCAATGGGGACAGGATTACTTCTCACATACACAGCTGGTATATTTACTCTGACATATGCCTGTGAAATAATGTGTGAGCTGAAGGTGGAGGGGGAGGAGTCATTGGCAAATTTGTGGTGTGGAGCAAATTTTTATTGATGACTGAGAGCTGTGGAAGCTCTGAGTAATGTGTTCTTTTCCTCAATCCATTTTTTTCCCCCACATTCTGCGACTGGGAAAGGCAAGAGCAAGTCAGGATGAGTTTGACTCATGATGACCCTAGGAGGCTTTCGTTAAGGAAAGTGGTCACATGGACTTCACATGCTGGGTGGAGGCAGCCTCTCCCCAAAGACGGAGAACCTGGCAGACACCCAGTGCTCAGTATGTGATTAATGGCTGTGTTGATAGAATAGTGCAGGCCTCCTCACCCAGAGCCCAGGCCCCTTGCCTGCCTTTCCTAACTAAAGCAGTAGCCTGCTGTGGGCTGAATAGCTAGAAGTGAAACCCTGAACAGTGGGTGGGTTAATGGGGGTGGGTGAGAGCTGCTCAGGGTGGGGGAGGGGAGGGTAGAGGAGGGCAGAAGACTGCATTTCAAATTCTACAGTCCCAGGAGCCAAAAGTTCAGAAGTAGATGACAAGTATTAGGATGGCAACCTCTTCATGACATTTAAAATTGTTGCTCACCCCTCCCTGGAATGCCCCCTTCTTGCTTGGAGCTTTCTCCTTCAAGGACCATGAGTTTCCTATATATCCCTGGTTTTCTACCATCTGACCATTCTTTGTTGGTTTGCTGGCCCCTTGCCCTCTTCTGTCCCAGATGAGGGCACTCCTCAGCATTCACTCTTCTCCCTTTCTTCTCTCTTCTCCTTCCTCTCTCTAGCAATCTCATTCCACCATGAGGGTTCAACTCCCTAGATCTCCACAGCCCCACCTCTATTGAGAAAGCCAGGTATGATTTTCTGTATGTAAGTTTATCTTAGGCAAGTGCTTCTCAACCTTTGGTGCCCTGATTAGAGTTACCTGGGATAATTTTTTTTAATCCTCAAGCCTAGACCAAACCCCCTGACTCATTCAATTAGAATCTCTAGGTGAATGGAAATCAGGCATCAGTATTTTTTGAGGTCATTTTTAAGTCTCCTTCCTAGAGATAATTGTCTCTATTCTGATCTCCCACAGTTCTTTATCTGAATTTAGAAACATGATGCTTTTTTAAAAAAAAGTCTGGCTCAGCAACCAGACTCAGGGTTTCAAATCCTGGTGTTGACATTTACCAATTATGAGACTTTAGGGAAGTTTGTTCATCTACCTATGCCTTAGTTTTCTCATCTGTAAAAAGGGTTAAGAGAGGACATAATAATAGGACTTACTTCATAAGGTTGTCATTAGAAATTAAAAGCCTAGATCAATACCAGGTACATAAGAAGAGATAATTAGGAGTCAGCTATTATAGCTTTGAGTAGTTACTAGAATTCTGAAGTGATAAATTTATGTTTAATCCAGTGGTTCTAGAATTTTAGCATATATAAAGATCTCCTGAAATCACCTGAAGAGTTTGTCTAAAACAACAACAACAACAAATTCTTGCCTTGGCCAGGTGATTCAGTTGGTTGGAGCATCATCCTGTACACTGAAAGGCTGTGATTTCAATTCTTGGCCAGGACACATACCTAGGTTGTGGGTTCAATCCCCGATTGGGGCATATACGGGAGACAACTGTATTAAAAAAAAAAATTCCTGCATTTCTTTTTTATTTTTAGAGAGAGGAAGGGAAGGAGAAAGAGAAGGAGAGAAACATTGATTGGGGGTTCCAGGCCCACAGCCCAGGTATGTGTCCTGACCAGAAGTGGAACCAGCAAACTTTTGGTATGCATGTTGATGCTCAACATGCTGAGCCACACTGATCAGGGCAAATATTTTCACCTTTTCAGGAAGCTTTCAGGTGACGCTGGTGCTCTTGGTCTGAGGACCTACCTGGGAGTATTCCTGACCTAATTCACTCCCATATCATCTCCTGGTCTGAGGACCTACCTGGGAGTGTTCCTGACTTAATCCACCCCCATATCCTCTCCTGCCTTCTCCTTCAGCCCAAGGAGTGTCTGGAGGCCAACTCTGCAAGGTCTTTCCTAAGGTCAGACCTCAAAGCTCATTAGCGAATAGCCAACTTGATCCGTCAAGCTCCCTAGGTTCCAAAACTTGCGTATCTCATACTCTCAGAGCAGAGTCCTGACCCATTTGTACCATTCCAGAGCTTTCAAGTAATAAGATGGATTCTGATGCGAGCATAATTCAAAAACAACCCCAACTCTGGATTAGAAGTTGTGGGTTTGTGCAAAACATTAAGAATGGGCAAAGTTTGCTGTACGTTAACTTACTTTTTCTGAAAAAGGCTCTCTTTTCCTTTCCATGACCTCAATGATCTCAGAGTATTTAGCGACTGACTAGAACCCATAGTTTGCTGTATCCCTGTGGATTTAAACCCCTCTCTCAGGCAGATTTTCTCTATAAGACCTTCAGGCACCCCCTTTTCATGAAGGAAGAACACTGGCTCCTCCCTCAGATAAGCAGATGCCATTTGGCTCAGCACCCTCAGGAGAGCACTGAGCTCCTTCATCGTGCTCTTGACCCGGATTCTGGCTTCTCTAATTAGGTGGCTGCACCGTGTATTTTTCTTCCTAGGAAGAACAGGTCCACTATTGTGTCCAGCCCTCTGCTCCTGCTCTGTTTGTTCAGTTTGTCCCACCTCTGTGCAGCCAAGATATCTAGCTCATTACATTCTGCTTTTAAGCTGACTCTTTATTTTGTTTCCATTTTAGCTCAAGTGCATTACACTAAATACTGTACACATTATTATCCCCTAAACGACTTTACTCAATCAGTTTTAGCAGCAAGGTCAGGGCCCAGTGAGCTGGAAGACCAGCCCTCGAATTGGCTTTCAACCAAAACAGCCAACAGCCCCCTCCTTCTTAAATCAACATTGCTCCCAGAGGGATAGAGCTTTGCGTCAGTGAAGAATGTATTAATTAAAGCAAATGAAAACGCCCTCATTTGTTGTAATGAATTTAGTTATTGCAGATCATTTTCTATGGAGTCACCTGCCTGGAAGATGTGCTGAAAAGAATGAAAGGGAAAAAAGACATTAAGTTCATAACTGCCTTCAGAGACCTGCTTTTCACCGTACTGGCGTTTCCTGTATCCACAGTGAGTTGCAAAAATGTATATGCAATATTATACACAAGTGCATGTGGATGAACTCGTCTCCTGGGCGGCAAGGCTGTTTGGGAGTCCATTACTGTAGACCAGAGCAAGAGCATTTGCACAGATGTCCTGAGGACTGTATCCCATTGCCCATTGCCTTCAGGAAATAGAGCACATTACTGACAAGGTTAGCATTATCTTTTTTGTCTTTGTGCTCTTTGATAAAATATCTGTATTGTTGTCTAATAAAGAAGTTTAAAGGACCTTTCTTAATCAAAATACAACTGAGATAACCTTGGTTTCAGCAGGGTGATGGAGATGGAAGCTAGGGAGAAAGATAACTAATTTTCCCTTCTATACATCTTTTTTCACTTGCTAAAATAAGCATGTGTTATTTCTGCAAGTGGAAAGAAACTGCAAATATAAAAAAGGTATGAAAAACTTAAAGTTGGCACATGAAAAAGACAATTGGGGAGGGGGAGAGAGAGAGAGACCATCTGTGTGAAATACCTGGTGTAGGGCACAAAAAGAGTGCCTCATTCAATTTGTTGAATGACTGGACATTGGAAAGAAGCAAGATATGCAAAGGAGAGTAAGCTCGTTTGCTGACACTGTCCACATTTCTATGACATGCTTATGTTTTCATTCATTAAAATGGAAACAAACCGAGATTAAGCATGCCAGCTGCCCAGCAGGGCCTATAATTAGACATAACTACCTCCTTCCACCTGTCATTGTTCTGCTTCTTACAGTATCAAGACTTCAAACTTAAATGCAAAATGAAACTCTCAGATAACAGAGCAAGTACTAGCATTTGAGTTTCACTTTGCAGGACATCTCTTCTTCATCCTCATAAATTTAAAGGCCAAGTTTTTTTATGACAATGGAATTTATTCCTTTTTAAAGCTTAGAAATTGAGCCTTTGGAATTAATAAAATAAGAAGATTGGAAGAGTAATAGTTTCTTTTTTTTCCATCTCTACATTGACTTTGATGTAGTGGGCAAACACTTTGAAAAGACAACCAAGGGATGTAAGAGGATGCGGATGAACCTAAACTTATGAGCAATGGGGAGATTCAACTCTCAGTTAACTAGCTTGTGAGCAGTCCCGGGTGTTCATCACTCCTCTCTCCCAGCCTTCCTGCCTCCCCTTACCATGTCTATGTAGAGGGTGGACAAGGAAAGTGTAAGACTCAAGGCATCCCAAGTGGCTCCTCCCAGCACTCGTGGTGAAAGTGTAAAGAAGAGAGGTCACTGGTTAAAATGAAATGATTTAATGGTCTGCAAATCCTGTCTGTCTATATCCTATATGCCTGCCACCATGACAAATAATTGATCCCTAACTCTCCAGACTCCCTAGAGTATGATTTTTTTTTCTTTATTTTACGTTTGTATAATGTCTTTAAAACTGGAATCTGTTTTTATTTTGCTATGTTTTCTTGGTTATCTTAGAGAGCTATGATTGGAAACAAACTAATGCTATTTTTGTGTTTTATTTTCCAGTGTGTGTTTTTGTTATTCTGGATCCTCTTTCTCTACGATCGAGAACTTATTTACCCTAAGTTCCTAGATGGTCTCTTTCCAATGTGGTTGAATCATACAATGGTGAGTGAGGGAAAAATTTAATGACTATAGAAAAGCAATAGCCTCTGCACTGAACTCTAAAGTGCACTATTTATGTTTCCAAACTTCTCCTGAACCCTGAACATCCTCTTCACTCCTCCCTCTGCATCCTGTCACTATTTATTTAAAGAGCTCATTGAAGATATAAAATGAATAAAAACTGGACTGTAATTACAGTCACTGAGAGCAGAGGGGATGACCAGGCAAGACTGCCAAGTTGCTTATGAAGTCATTGAAAAGACATGTAACCATAAGGGCAGGCAACTTCTTGGCAGTTGCAGTCATGACAGAGAAGTGACTTCAGCAAATAACATGTAATGAAAATTCTGCTCTAGAAATGGAATTAAGCAAACTTTAAAAAATCCACCCCAACATCTAGAGAATATCTCAGAGCTCAGCAGTAACTTCTTAGCTAACACAGGATTATTCATCCCAAGTGGAATGATTGTTTACATATTCTATGAATACATTCCTGTTTGTTCTTCTAATCATGCACTTTTTTAAATCCTCACCCAAGGATATGTTTATTGATTTTAGAGAGAGAGGAAGGTAGGGAGGTGTGGGGGTCGGGGGTGGGGGAGAGAGAGAGAGAGAAACATCTTTGGGAGAGAGAAATATCTATCAGTTGCCTCCCATACGTGCCCTGACCAGGAACCAAACCAGCAACCTAGGTATATGCCCTGACTAGGAGTCATACCTGCACCTTTTCGGTGTATGGGGACAATGATCCAACCAACTAAACCACAACAGCTAGGGCCATGCATTTATTTTTAAAGGGCTAAATAGTAAATACAACCTGTTATGAAATATTCAGATTACTGGTATCTGACCACTAGTAACCGTCCACTGGACAAGCAGCATGGGAGCATGGCTGTCCAGACCTTGGATGAAGGATGGGCCTGAGTCATGGGCACTTCCTGCATGAAGAAATCATTCAACGTCCTAGCCTCGCTGCCTCACACTTACAAGTGTATTTCCACATTAGTCAGGAGTTCAGAATGAGGTTTCAGAGCATATGAAGCAAATGACATTTAAAAACCAGGGAAATCACAAGCGAGTAATGTTATTAAGGCTCCTCAGGATCACAGATTTTCTTTTATCTACAACTCGTCTATTGTCTCACATGATTACCAGTCAGGAAAAGCAGCTCAGTCCACTGACTCTGCCCCTCCAACGTGTTTCATCCCCCAGTAAAAATGTACTTTCAGTTTAAATGTGCTCAATGAGGTACTGATTACTAAGTAAGATATCCAAGTTCTAATCTAATTTAGAGTTCAGGACCAAAAACTATTTGTTAAATAAGTCTTATCTCTCAGGGACTCCCTCCTACCACCTTCTTTTTGTCTGACCACCTCTCTCAGGGAATATCTGACCACCTTTCTAATTCCCATTAGTATTAATCTGAGACACCTATTAAAGGACATTTCTGCTTTTTCATGGTACTTTACTGAGCATGTTCCTCAAATATGTGCTTGTTTAATTCACACAACCTTTAGATAAAAACAAAAATCCTGATTTATACAAATTAGGGGAAAAAAACTCAGAGAAGTTAAGTGATTTGCCTGGGGCCACAGAACTGATAAGTGGACCCTAGGATGCAAATCCAAAGCTAATTCTGCTCTCCATTTTTCTTTGCTATAGTAAGTGCAGGACTGTGGTATGATCTGGTTTCATAATTCACCAGGCAAACAGAAGATTGCTTGATTAACATAGCAAAGTGAGAATTCTCACTTAAAAAAAATCCAGAATCCCCACCTGTATGCTAATAAGCTAAAACTTGACTTAAGAAAAGAAAATTAAGTGATTTGGGACAACTGATTGAGATCGATGTTACTCAACTGAAAAAAAGAAAGGCAGAATCTTTTATTTGTGTCTTTTATTTGGGGCTGACCACATATGTTATACCTCTTCCAGGCTTTGTAAGCTTATCTAGTAGTTTCCTTGCAACTATCAAAAGCTTCCCAGCTCTTTATGGTTCCATTTTCCAGGTGGAAATAAGGTTAGATTTCTTCCAAATACTTGTTTTGTGATGCCCAACATCTGTGACCTTGCTAAATAGCCATAAAGATGTTTAGTAATTTTAAAACAAGATAACTGTGCAAGGTACATCATATCCAAGAGCAAAGACAACACTGCGCAACAGAGTTCCTAAAACATTTTTGTGCCTTCAAAACCTGGGGGGTTTTATCTGTTCCTAGTCCTTTGGTCAATTGAGTAACCTGAATCTCTTCGAGAGAAGGGGCTAAGGTCAAAAGAGGTAGGACGATGGTGACAAAGAGAAAAGAAGAGATGGAAACCTGTCTTCAGTCAGACATTGACTGTTATTCTGTTACTTTACATGGAAAAAAATCCCAACAGAACCATTTCCAGGGGAAAATGTTGGCATCAGCAAAGCCAGCTTTGTGGTCCTCTCCAGACTTCTGTGTTTCCTGTTGGTGTCTGCTCCAAATCCATTGTCCTCGTGACCACATCTCATCCCGCTTTCCAGATTGTGTCCCTTATTCTGGACATTTTTTGTCCTTGCTATTAAGTTCTCCCGGTCTACTGTGTCAAGGAATGCTTTCTAACTTCTTAAATACTAGTATAAACAAATATGGAAATGGCTGTTACCACTTCCTGTTAACAGGTAAATCTGTTAACACTTTCTACATTTTAACAGTGTCCTTCCATGACAACCCAAAGGGTTGAATACCCCAGAAACCACCCTCGTGGCCGCTAGAGAGCTAATGGGCAGTCAGGCTAGACATCTGGTACTAGTTGCTTACGAGTACTTGTGGCTGACCCTGCTCTTACAGAGAATTGCTTCCTGTACTGCTCCTTTTTCTCTTCCACAGTATAAGAATTATTGGCTACATACTCAGTGTCATAATCTCCTGAAAGTTTCCTTCATTTCACAATGGATTTATGTTTGCTACTTTAGCCTTAGCTTTGAAATATCTTACGTGTTGCCTTTTGGGATGATACCCTGGGCTTGATGAGTAATATCTGTCAGATTAAGAAATACCACTTTCCCCTTTGACAAGAGTTCAGTTCTAAAACTTTCATGATTTATCAAGTCTTTGGAATCCTCCCAGTGTGAGCCTTCTAGCTCGCTGGAGACTTATCATTGTGGTAGGACCTGATTATCATCTGTAATGGACATTTTTTCTACCCTTGCTTTGTATTCAAACCAAATAGAAACATCAGTGAAATGTTTGCATCAACCATGGACGGGCTGCCTTCATTGGTGCCCTAAAACTCCCATTTGAGCTGGCTTGCCTTATTTCAAGTGGATCAACCTGATGTTTTACTGCTAAGCAGTTCTCCAGTCTCAATGAAAGAAGGGAAAGCACAGTAAAGTATTTCTCCAGGTCTGTCAGGGAAAAATAGCTTCTCAGGTCTTATCTAAATGACTACTAAAGATAGAATTAGAACAGACAGATTTAAATAGCAGGAAAAGGACTCAGTAACTGAGGAAACTATCAGATGCTAACCTGAAGGAAGCTGGGGAACTTATTTCTCAGAAAATCAGCCTAAATTGTTCAGGTTTCCCCAAAAGAGGGGTGAAATAGATCAGAGAACCCCCTCAGAGCCCCTCTATATTTGAAAATAGTACATGATAAATGAGAACATGGTGCAAGTACTTTATAAACTATCAAGGACTGTATAAATATGTCATTATCATGTAAAACTCTCAATCCATGAGCAGAGTTTTAGTACTGAAAAGACTTCATTGATATTAATGGGGGTTTATAAACAATCTGCTCTTAAGAGTCAGGCCTTAGTTTAGCTCTGTAAATTGGAAAAGCAATGAAACACAGCTACTTTGTTATTTAATGTGTTGTCTTTATCACTTGAAAAAATAATTATTAAGTACCTATTGTGTGTAGCAGCATGATTGCTATTCGACAAGGGTTTTGACTTCTAGCACGCTAAATCTGGGTGAGCCTAGAATGCACACACAATGTTGAAACAATAAAATCACAGTTAAAACTAATATAAGACATTGATACAGGTGGTAGCATGCAGCAGTATGTGATTAGTGACAAATGAAAGATGCGGACAGGAACGCTCCATGCCCCTTGTGTTCTGGCCTGGGTGTTACCAACTTGTGGGTCAGGACTGAACAACGTGAAAGTCCTTAGAGCCCTCTCCAGGATGTAGTGGGGAGTCAACATGTCGAGGGAGTAAAACTCTAACCCTCACAGTTTCTTTCTCACTCAGAGCATGCAAGATGTTGTGTATCATTAAATCCAGACCATCTCTTAGATTTTTCTCTCCCACCTTGATGTGAAATTGTTTGGGCTGCTAAATAGTTAGGTGAGTTCTGATAAGTAGAGAAGGTCAGCTGCAGGTTTGTCAGTGCTAACTGGCCATCTTTTGCCCACCAACCTTACAAAGCCCTTCTGCACACCTTCCTTGTTTTTCAACTCAGCCTTTCCTCTGGGCAGAGGAGACCCACAATGAAGGTATCTCTGGCTAGTTCAGTTGTTTTCAACCTTCAGAGAACAGACCCCTTGGTGAACCTAAGGAAATCTATGGACCATTTCCCAAAGAAACACAGATGCCCATAAAATTTTGTATATCATTTTAGAAGGTTTATGGACCTTCAAAATTCCATTTATGAGCCTCAGATTAAGATCTCTTGACATAACCAAGTATGTGCTTGAAAAGAGAACCACCAAATGATTGCTAATGCTGAGTTCATACCCAAAAGACAAAATCAAGAATACTCATTTTTCAAAGTCATTATTATGTGTTTAGTGATGTTTTCATTTCTGTGGCGTGACAAGAGAAATATGAGATATGGTTGAAAAACTTAAATTACAAACATTATATATCTAATCATATGTGTGTGTGTATAAAATCCTACCCCCACCCCCACTGCGCACACATGCAACTTTAACCTGCTAAAAGCAAAAGCTGTGTTCTACAGAATCTTTAGGAGAACATTTGGACAGTTAAAAAACAAAAACAACCCCCCCCCCCCCCCCCCCCCCCCC